GGGGGACAGCCAGAGAGAAATGTCAGGAGATGAAAGAGGGAGTGTCTTCTTGGTGGAATAATCTGGAGGTCAGTGTCATTGGATAGAAGAGTATGTGTTGGGAAGTAAGGTGTAAGGAAACTGGAAAGGTAGGAGGGGGCTAGGTTATGAAAGGCTTTGAATTCGAGACACAGCATTTTGTATTTATTCCTGGAGGCATGTGTCAGTTAGGATCTAAACCCAGGTCTTTGTGACTTAGAGGTCAATTCTCTATTATGCCACCCCGCCTCTCAGGAGACAAAGGGAGAGGGGGGGGGGGGAAGAGAGAGAGACAGAGATTGATTATTGTTTGATTAAACCCAAGTCCTCTGAGTCCAAATTCAGTGCTCTTTCCACTATTGCCAAGCCCCTTCCTTGCCCCTCCATTCTGTTATTTAGCCTTCCCTTCCTCTCCCCCAAATCATCAACTTCTGTTGGACAAGGTCTGTGGACCAGAATGACTGGTTCTATGCTTCAATCTGCTCCTGGCTGTGCAACATTATGACTGCCTTTCCCTGCTATGACTAGGAAGGGGTGAAGTCAGCTCAAGGGCTTTGAAGGCAACAACTGATGATGGTGAAACCTGGCTAGGAATCTGCATGTTCATGTTCTTCCTCCATCCTCTCCTTTACTTCCCAGGGTTCTCTCTTCCCAACCCTGGAGGTATCACAGCTATTCTCTTTGTTTGTTGTCTTTCTTTTTCTTTTTGCTTGCAGATTTTCTTTCTCTGTTCCTTAATCTTCATTTTGCCACTGTTAGTCTATTTTTCACTTGATTTCTTTGGATCTGTTTCCATGTGTTTCTTTCCATTTTCTACCTCTTCATCTCAGTCTCTCTTGATCTTTTTCTATCAATATTTCTTCCTATTTCTCTTTTTTTCTGTAAGGCAATCTGGGTTAAGTGACTTGCCCAGGGTCACACAGCTGGTAACTATCAAGTGTCTGAGGTTGTGTTTGAACTCAGGTTCTCCTGACTCCAAGGCCAGTGCTCTATCCACTGCACCACCTACCTGCCCCAGATTTCTCCTTTTTCTAGTCATCTATATGTCTCTTCTCTTTGTCCTTCCATCTCTCCCTCGCTCAGGTCTTTCCTCTATCCCTCAGTATTTCCGCCTCTCTCGCCTTTAGCCTTTCCATCTCTCCAGATAAATGGTGCCTTACGTCAGGATGACATGGGAGACAGTATCCTTTCTCCCTGAAACGATCACTATCCCCACACCTATTCTCAAGGACCTCTACTGCTGCTGGATATAGTCAGAGATCACTATCACAAATGGACCCGTCTCTGGCCATCTCCCCTAATTAGTTCCTCTTTCCCCACAATCTCCAAGAGGTCAAGAGTTGACCTTTCTCATCTTGACTGTACCCACGGGTACGCTATGCTTTGTACCTGCTGTGTCCCTTATCCATCCCCCAATTTTTTATTCCTGGTTATGGATTTGCTATCTCTTGGTCATTTGGTCTCCCTAACCCTCGGCTTCTCCCTCTTTGTCCCCACAGGCTCTACACCTCTCTGTCCCTCTTCTCTCCTCATGTGATGTTCCTCAGTATCTCCATCTCTCTGTATTTGTTTCTTAGTTCCTCCTTGTCTCTGGCCTTCAGTCTCTCCCCATCTATCCTTTGTGTCTGTATCTTTGTCCTTCACTTTCTCCATCTCTGTGTCCCTCACCTTCTTAGTCTTTATCCATCTCTGACCTTCACTCATCTTTCTGCTGTTCCTCAATCTTAGTCTTTCTCCATCTCTCTGTCCTCTCCATTTCTTTCTGTGTATCTCTTCCATGTTCATTTCGCTGGGTTGTGGCAGACCCGGGTGAACAGAAGGGGAGGGGAGAGGGAAGGAGGGAACTGGCTGGAAGCCCAGGCCTGAGTCAGAGGCATGAGGCATCGTGAGTCAGGCTGGAAGGGAAGTCCCTGCAGTAGGGGCTTTCAGAGCTGGGATCACAGGCAGAGAAAGTGTCAGAAATGCTCCTCTGACACAGTGACCTTGCCTGAGCCTGGAAAGCCAGACAGATGCTTATGTCCACAAACATCCCCCCATCTCTACCTCTGCCTCCCACCCAGAGATACACCCAAAAATCAAGCATATAGACAGAGATGTACAAATATTCATACACCAAAGAAGCCTGAAATTCACACTCACGTGCATTTGACAAGAACACAAGGATCCCGCGCTAATGGGTCCAGTCCCTCTCTCTCTCTCTCTCACACACACACACACACACACACACACACACACACACACACACACACACACACACCCTGGAACTCACACTTGTCCCTTCCCCCTTCTGCTCACATAATGATGCTCACTCTCATACCAAAAGACATGACCAACCCACCATGAACACAGGGCACTTCGTGCTTCTGGACAAATGGAGTTGTTTTTCTAGTAGTAGGGAGGAGATTCCACAGAACCATCCCCACTCTCTCTCCCCCAGTCATCCAGGTTTGTAAGACAGCTATGACTGGAGGTATAGGCAGCATGTACAAAGGCAGCTGCTACTAAGTGGAAAGGTCTTTAACTCTGGCCCTGCCATTTACTAGCTGTGGGTCCTTGTACACCTACTAGTCCTGGGTCCTTAGCCTGCCTGGGCTTCCATTGCCTCCTCTATGAAACAGAAATAACATCCCTTATCATACCTGCCTCAGAAGGATTCATAGGATCTTAGATTCCTGAGGTGAAAGTGATCTCATCCAGGCCAACCCCAGCATTTTACCAAGGAGGCAACTAAGGCTTGGAGAGGCTGACTTACCAAAGGTCACACCTACGGAGTTGATATTTGAACCCAGGCCCTCTTCTTCTACATCCAAGTCCCTCTTATAAGCCTCAAGGTACTATAGAAGCTAAAGCAATTATCTGGAAAAAAAAAGGCAGGGGGGCAGGACACACTCTTCACAATGGCAGCTAGGTGGTACAGTAGTTGGGCCTGGAGTTAAGAAGATGAAAGTTCAAATCCAGCCTCAGACACTTACTAGCTATGTGACCCTGGGCAAGTCACTTAACCTCAGTTTACTTTGATTTCCTCATCTGTAAAGTGGGTATAATAGCAGCACCTACCCCCCAGGGCATTAAGTGCTATATGAAAATTATTTGCGTATCTATATGGCACAGTGGATAGAGTGCTTTAAGTTCTTTCTAAGTTCAAATCTGGCCTCTGATACTTAGTAGCTGTGGGACCTGGGGTTTGCCTCAGTTCTTCATCTGTAAAATGAGCTGGAGAAGGAAATGGCAAACTACTTTAGTATCTTTGCTAAAAAAACAAAAAACAAAATAAAACCAAGTAAGGTCATGAAGAGTTGGACACAACTGAGCAACAACTCTTCACAACTGTGCACTCACAAAGGCATAAATATCTATCCACTATTACATATGAAAAAACACATACTGTTTCACACACGCATATGAATACACATGCCCATCCTATCACATACATAAAAGCGCACACACACACACGCGCACGTGCACACACACACACACACACACACACACACACACACACACCCCTCATAGCCATACAGCTTCCAAATTGAAGTTCAAATCCCTTAGGCTGGCATTTAAGGTCTACCAAAATCTGGTGTTACTCTGTTCTTACAGTCTTACCTCTGTGTACTCTACAAAACAGATAAACTGGACCAGTGATGTGAAACTCAAATAGGAAGGGGACCACTAAACAGTACATGAGGATCCCTAGAGCCATATATTGACTTAGAAAACCAGGTAATATTATTCTATGTCCTTTCACATTTTTATTTGGGCAGCTAGGTGGCTCAGTAGGCAGCTGAATGGTGCAGTAGCTAGAGTGCCAGGCCTGGAGTCAGGAAACTTCCTTCCTGAATTCAAATCTGGCCTCAGACACTTACTACCTGTGTGACCTTGGGCAAGTCATTTGACCTCATTTGCCTCAGTTTCTTCATCTGTAAAATGACCTGGAGAAGGAAATGACAAGCCACTCCAGTATCTCTGCCAAGAAAAACCCCAAATGGGGTCACAAAGTATTGGACACAACTAAAAAACAACAACAACAACAAAATTTATTTATTTTGTTAAATATTTCCCAAATAATTTTAATCTGGGGGCTGTAGCAGGAGTTGTATTTGACACCTCTGAGCTGGGCTATTCACCTGAAGACAGCCCGTGCTTTTCCATCTTCTTGCCTATATTCACAACATTACTCATGTTTAGAATGCCTTCTCCTCATCTCTCTTAAATTCCTATCTGTTGTTCTTCACTTTGTCTAAACTTCACCTTGTCTAAAACTTTCCCCAGAACTCTCCAAATTGGCATCTATATATGAAACAGAAGCTTTGATTTGTATCTACACGCACCAGTGTTATTTTATGTATGATGCAGCTAGCTACTCAAGTCCTCCGAGGTCTGGGAGGACAACTTCTTGTCCAATTGTCTCAGAAAGAAGAGGAAAAAGAACATTACTCTCCTTGGTAGAAAAGCATCTTTCACTTCACTTACTCATGCTCAGGTAACCCTCCCTCTCCCTCCTATTCTCCCTTTGGAAAGAGGAACTATTTCTGGATCAGCCCAGGCTCCAAGAAGCCACCAGCTATAGCTCCTCCTCAAATGCCTCCTCCAGGAAACCTAATGTTTTTTCCCACATCCCCTTTCCATCCCTTTTCCCTCCTCTTCTGCCCTATTCCCCCAACACCAAGTAAGTAATGTTATCAACCATGGCCCTGGTAAAAAAGACCTGAGTTCAAATCCAGCCTCAGACACTTCTCAGCTGTGTGACCCTGGGCAAGTCACCTAACCCTGCTTGCCTCAATTTCCTCATCTGTAAATTGAACTGGAGAAGGCAATGGCAAACCACTCCAATATCTTTGCCAAGAAAATCCAAATGGGGCCAGGAAGAGTCAACACAACTAAAAAAACTGAGAAACAACGTACTCTTTGTGTATTATGGTCCTCTGTATTTGTTTTATTGTCACACAAATACTTTGAACCAAAGAGAGGGATTTCCTGAGAGTTTTATCTTTTTATCTAAAACAGGGGCTCTTACCTTGATCTTGGTTTTTTTAATGTTTTCATATAAATTTAAACCATAATAACCATGTTTATACTGTTTTAATATAAATGGTTTCCTTTGTAATCCTATGTATTTCTTTTAGGCATTTAAAGACATTATTCTGAGAAGGGGTACATAGGCTTCCCCAGACTGCCGAAAGGGGCTCAGGACACAAAAAAAGGCTGAGAATCTCTGATCTAAAGGGAATTTAGAGGAAGCTGAATAGTGGAGATGGTGATTCAATCCTGGATATAAGAACAGGTCCAGAACATTTGCGTCTGTAAAATTGAAAGAAAACAGCTTCTAAAACTCAACAATTTGTTGCTTACCTCAGTATTAGGCTTGTAACCCATCCCAGAAGTTACTTATTAACAGACCCCCTGAGATCTAGTTTTGATCCATATTTATGTTTTTTCATCTAATCCTTATAACAACCATAAGCCTAAAGAAAGGCAGTGTGTCACTGTACTAATTATCCAACAAGGGGGTAAAATATATGAATTTTCTACAAGGTAATGTTTGCCTTAAGACACCAGGCAATAGCCACCCCAGATCTCTTGGCACACGTGCAGGAGAGGCTGTAGCAACCCTTATGTCCACCAGATGCTATTTGGCTTACAGATGCCTAGACTATTTCCCTCCCTCCCTCTCCCAAACTGGGGACAAGCCCATGGCTTTTAGTGGCATGCTGTGTCAGTTCAGAATTTAATCTAGTGGATCAAACGAATATTATTTAAAATATCTAAAATATATGATCTGTAAGAAGTTATAAAGCCCCACTCCATATCTTCTTCCTGGCTATGATTTTCCACATTCACAAGACTCAGAAACTTAACATACCATGATCATATAGTTTATTGGGCACAAAAAAAGAAATGGAAACAGGTTAAATGCTTTCATATGAATAATCCATCTCCAATAATTGCCCAAACCTTCCCCTGGTTTCCTCCCTCTACCCTCTAGATCTTAGAATATAGTCAGAGGAATTCCCAAGTCACAAGTATCCAAAATTCTCACAGAAGAATAAAGAGAGAAGAATGTGTCCAGGACCTTACTCCAGGTCACAGACTATATCAAAGCAAAAATCTGTTAGAAAAATCAGTCTTCCCCTCCTTGCTTACCAGTTTTGGGTTTGTCAAAAGCTGCCAGTTGCAGGATCCCTGCCCCTACTCTAGGAGCACAGACTTAGAGTCAGACAGGATTTTAAAGGTCACCTAATGCCCTCATTTTACAGACGAGGAAACTGAGGCCCACCAGGTGAAGTGATTTTTCCAGATTCATTTAACAAGTAAGGTGATGGAACCAGGATTTGAACCTACATCCAGACCCCTAACTTAAGTTTCTTTTCATCTCACCATGCCAGATCACTTCTGCAGTCCTGTCCCAAGTCTCAGGCCATAGGAGTAGCCCTTGTAACCAGTCCCAGCCCAGGCTGATCTAATCTACTTCCTAAAAGCCCAGCAATTTGAATTCAGAGGTGGCTCCCACTTAGCCATACCTGTAAGGTTTCCAACAGCAGTGCTGAGAGTCCCAATCAACAAATCTAAAGGGAAATGGAAGGAGAAAGAGTGAATGCTGCATGCCAGGATCCAGAGTTAATGCCTCTCATTCCATTGTGAGGCTTTCCACCCATCACTAGCGTGTGCTCCCAATTCAGGTAAAGTGAGGATGAAAGGGGAAGGACAGGCAATCAGCCACCCATATGTGTCAGGACCATAGAATTCACTTTGAAGTCTTTCTCCTCGGACCATCATTTTCCTGGGCACAGAAATCAGGCAGGTAAGAGGACAAGCTGTGAGTATCAGTTATACTCCCATTACTACCCTGCTCCCTCCTAGGGCAAAGACTTACTATTTGTGATTCCCTCACCTAGTAGCCCTTGGTTCCCAAATCTATAGTCAGGACCATGGAATCAGATCAACCAAGGTTCATTATAGGTTCTTCTTTTCCTTTGGTCAGAGAATGGGTAGATACTCTTAGGACCTCATAAACTTCAAAACCATTTCTACAGGTTTGTTAAGATCTGGATTTAGAGCTGGAAGGGACCTCTAAGGCCATCTAATCCAACCCCTTCATTATATAGATGGGGAAACTGAGGTACTGGGAGTTGAAGTGATTTGCTCAAGGTCATATAGACCATAAGTATCACTTATTCATTTCTAGTACAGTCACTTTTTTATGTATTTAATTTTTTTTTAAAAAATCTACCCTAGTTATATGTAAACAATTTTTAACATTTATTTTTAAAACTGAGTTTCAAATTCTCTCCCTTTCTCCCTACCCACCCCATTGAGAAGGCAAACAGTTTTATATAGGCCATACATATGTAGTCATGCAAAACATATCCATAATAACCATGTTGTGAAAGAAAACACAGACGAAAAACCTCAAGAAAAATAATGTAAAGAAAAAAGTATGCTTCAATCTGTTTTCAGACACCATCAGTTCTTTCTCTGGGGATAGATAGCATTTTTCATCATATGTCCTTCAGAGTTGTCTTAAATCATTGTACTGCTGAGAATAGCTAAGTCATTCACAGCTGATCATCTTCCAATATTGCTGTGACTTTGTACATAGTACAATTCACTTTGTATCTGTCCATGCAAGTCTTTCCAAGTTTTTCTGAGAACATCTTGCTTATCATTTCTTAAGTGCAATAATATTCCACCATAATCACATACTACAACTTGTTCAACCATTCCTCAATTGTTGGTATCCACTCAATTTCAAATTCTTTGCCTCCAGAAATGAGCTGCTATAAATATTTTGTAGTACATTAATCTTTTAAAATAATTTTTGTTAGCATCTTTCGTTTTTACATTGCCAAAATTTCTTCCAGTATCTCTCCTCCTACTCCTTGTCCATATAACAAAGAATTTTTTTTAAGAAAAGGAGGACAAGGAAAAAAAAAACCCAGCAAAGCTGATACATCAAAAAATGGAAAACACCTCTTCTGCAAAGGGATGGATTCTAGGTGGCACAGTGGATAAAGCACTGGCCCTGGAGTCAGGAGGACCTGAGTTCAAATCTGGTCTCGGACCAAACACTTGACACTTACTAGCTGTGTTGACCCTGGGCAAGTCACTTAACCCCAATTGCCTTGCCAAACCAAAGAACAAAAAGGGGATGGGTTCTAAGAATCTTATCTCTTCTTTGGGGCCATCCTTATTTTTTAATAATTCTGCAGCATTCCCTTTTGATGATTTTGTGGTAGTTGTTCTTTCCATTTATACTGTTATAGTTATAATGTTATAGTCATTTCACATACTGTTTTCTTGGCTCTTTGAATGTTCCTCTGTATTCATCATATTTGTCATTTCTTATAGTATAGGAATATTCCATTATGATCACACACCACATTCCCCAATCAACGAGCATCTACTTTGTTTCCAGGTCTTTCCTACCACAAATAGTGCTGCTATAAATATTTCGATGTATATGAGGGCTTTCTTCTTATCAATGACCTCCTTGGGGTATATGCTCTAGTGCACTCATGTAATAGTTTATATTATAATTATCTGTGTATGTTGTTCTGGGCTGGGCCTAACTCAGGCTATTTCTCTGGCAATTTAAGCCATATGAAACCAAGAAAAACAAGCATGGAAGAAAAAGAAAGATACACTATAAGAAAGAGGACTCAGTAGACAGAATGAAATGAGACACTCGTAGGTTATCCAACAGTTAACAAAAGGAATCTACTTAGCCAAAACAGAAGGCTACTTAACCAAGACATGCATGAGGACAACCAGAGCTGATTCAACTTAGCAATATTCCCCTACCTCAGAGTTGCTCATAGTGATCTGCCAGCCAAATATCAGAGAGTGCCTGGAGCGCTATTTTCTATTCAGGTGACCAAGAAGTGATATCAAGAGCCTCAACCTTTAGTTTCCTCTGAAGTCTCAAGGATGGTTTAAATACCTTTAAGGAAAAGCTAGTCTAACTTGCAGGGGCATATGTCATATCCCCCTACTAAAATGTAAGCTCCCTGAGGGCAAGGTTAGTGGTTTGTTAAAAATTTTGTTTGGTAAAATTTCTATTTTCCTCCAGAGTCTAATACAAGGTATTAAGGTAACAGAGTAGATACTTAAATGGTTTTTTTTTAACTGAATTTTTAAATTTCAATTTATTTTTAAAATTGAATTGAATTTGGGTAGATCCCAGGAGTGGGATTGAGCTAGGGGCCAGAACTAAGATAAAGAGTTGTTCATCCCCCTTCTCAACTAAGTTATGACTAGACCAAGGGGTATACCATGAAGTAAGGAAGAAATGCCTCCAAACACAACCTCCCTTCTCCCTCCACCCCCCACCCCAAATATCTTCAAGAATCACCAAAGACACTAGATAAACAAGAAAATTTCTCTCTAGTTCCATCTCTAGAGATCCTGTTTATTTCTGCTTTATTAAAGATAGGGTGAAGAACTAAATGGGGCAATAAAGGCACCTTAGCTGGGGGCTACCATTGTCACATACAGATGTTCTTCACCCCCATGTCAAGGAGCCAAACTGAGATCCTTATGAAACTTGAGGATTGAGTGAGAAGGGTATAAACTAGGACCAATCTGCCCTGGGGGAGGAACTGGAAGGCTGAGTAGAGGGAGGAGGGGCTTGGCTTCAGGGGCCCAGTTGTGGGCAGGGCCTGGGATTTGGCAGGGCACCCTGTGCAGTGACCTAGAAATCTATGCTGCCAGCAGCCCAGGGAAGCCCCACCTGGCACTGCCCAGTGGCTAAGGCGGTGTCACTAGGAGGCATCAGAGTATGCCTGTCAGTCTCTTTCACTCACACACACACACACACACACACACACACACACACACACACATGGGTCTCTCCTCTATTCCCCATAGCCTAGTGTCTCTGCTTGAGCTGTCCTCACTACATCTGCCTGTCTAAAGGGACGTCAGAATGGTCTAGAGTATAAAGCAATATATTCATAGTTGGGGGACGTGGGCTGTCAGTTCTGCTATCTACTAGTTGCTATCCTGGGAGAAATCAATTTCCCCTTTCTAAGCCTCAGTTTTTCCACCTGCAAAAGTGGACTCATTTTACTTTCTGTTCCAATTCCTATGATTCTAGGACTTCTGGATTCTCCTACCAACTGAGCTGTGATAGTGACCCCAGATTTTACGTTGAACCTCCGTGTGCCTACCCCACTCCCCCAAACCTCACTTCTTACTTTTCTTGGACCTGAGATGAACATCATATCAGTATCCATTCTATGGAGTAATCTCTAATTAATTCCTCCATTCCAGCCTAACATCCCTCCAATTTACAGATTTGCAGTCAGAATAAGAAGTTTCCAGCAGCTAAAAATGTAAGATCATCGTCGGCCTAGTAATGATAATACCTTACCTTTTTATAGGGCTTTCTACTTTTCAAGGCATATTATCTCATCAGGGGTGTGCTAGTGAATGAGGGGAAAAAAAATACGAATGACATGCTTTTAAAGTTTAGTATATAATAGTAACACTTTCATAAGTTAGGGTATACAGGTTGTTCAGGGAGGACCAGCACCTCTGGTGTGAGGGCTGCCGAGCCCTTTTCAGGGCTGCTCATCCACCTTTGGTGTCCTCTGTTCACCCAACTGTCACCTGCATCTCTAAGAAGCTGTAGCATGTACAATGGCCATACCCCAGTAAGCCATCTCAGCAGACGGCTAAACCAGGTTGAGGTAACCAATGGGCCTCAAACCCATTTGTGAATGGGTTTATCAAGCATGTGAAGACTTCCCCCAGGGGAACAGGATGATGAGATCAATTTATTCCAAAGGCCATGAAGGCAGCTGAAGCAGGCGCTGTGGAGCATCAGGCTTTGGTTAGACATCTCAGACGCTAAGATTATCCACTGCATCCTGAGCCATCACCAATCATCATTGACTTTTATCTTGCCAACGGACTTCCATGACTCTGGAAGAGTGAGGCTGACGACTCTATGGAGCTCTGCCTCATTTAAATCCAATTCACCCACAAGTCAAGACATTCCCTGTGATGTCATTGGTCCTCTTTGAAAACAAAGGACAAACAAGTCTAGACAATCTACAAAATAATAAATCAAGCTCTGATCTGTAGTTTGCTCATCCTAAGGGGTAAATGGCTCTTGGTGAAATCTTAACAATCACTCTCTAGGCAGGATTCGGTTGGAGCTGACTACCACACACTCCTCACACTCCTCCAATTCATCCTCACCTCTGTCTGACAAATGGAGAAACTGAGGCCCAAAGGCTTACTTAATACCTCAGAGCTAGTCAGTAGCACTGACTGGACTGCCAGAGTCTATTGCTCTTCCTATCATACTCTGCTATTTCTACTAGCTAGGGTTCACCAAAGATAACGGATTTAACAATTGACAGGACCTTAAAGATCAAGCAAGATCAAAGTCTATCATTTTCAAATGAGGTAACTGAAGCTAATTAAAGTGAAATGTCTTGCCTTAAGTCATACTAGTAATAAATGGCAGAGATAGGATTGGAACTCAGGTTCCCAGATTCCAAATTCAACCCTCTTTTCCAATGCACTTAAGCTGCTCCCCAGTTTGACTAAAAAGTCT